AGTCAGCTTGCACAACCCTCKTTAATCCTTGCTTGATCAGCTTCTGCTGCTGGATTTTGGGTACGTCTACGCTTTTGAAGACCTTTGCATTCCTCGCAAGCCAGATAACTTCCATTAGCACACTCCTGCAGCAAAGCGCCACATAGCCCCACCCGGAAGCATAAGACAGTCTGTCCGGTAGGACGCCCGTCAGCATCCAATGATCCGTCCACTCAATGGAGTGTGCTGCTATCTTGTCCCAGTGACTTTTACACCACATCAATAATTTGTCCGCTAGCGGACAGCAGCACCAGAGGTGGGCCGCATTCTCCCAACCCCAGTTACATCGCACACATTGTGTGGATACTTCCGTTCCTTTGCTTGATAGCCAAATTGCTGTTGCGGTGACCATTAAGGACTGCAGCCACATTATACTGGCTTGCTTCTGTATTGGTAATCTCTTCAGAGCCTGCCACAGCTTACCTAAACCTTTTTTTGTGTAGCCTGTAACCTGCTGTGCCTCTGCCCGGGCCAGGGCCAAAGTCGTTGGCTTTTTCTTCAAATTCGCCTGTTGCATCTGTACTCCTACCTTGGGGCTATACTGATAGAGTGGCACGAAGTTGCCCTGCTTCCAGGAGCCTTCCCATCCCATCGTCATGGGCTCCACTCTAACTGCAGCCGCCTTTCCTAGTAAAAGCGCCGTTTGTTTACCTCGTCCATCCCCTTGGACATGGACCCGAGCTTCTACCATATCCTTCGTGCTGTTGATATGCCGGTTGTCGTCCACCAGGGTCAGCTGGCCTAGGCTCTTTCCTGGCGCTGCGAGCCTCCAGCTCAGGGCCCTGATACCAGAAACTAAGTCCGGGCCCAAAACCTGCAGCACTTCGGCTGGCTGATCCAGTCTCATAAGCCAAGTTCCTGCTGGGTGTTCCATATCCCGTTGCAGGGTCCTGATCCAGGATTCAGGTATAGCCTGCTGAAGCTCTCCATAATTGGTGGCAACATTCCATAACCGCGAGAGCCTCCTCTTGATCTGCGAAATGTCCAAGAACTTAGCATGTGTCTCATCCCATATGTCCCTGAGTTGAAGAGTTCCCTTCTTTATCCAACTCGAGCCAAAATTGCCCGCTCCCCCAGTTGTCACGAACTGTGTCCCATTGTGGTGGAGGATGAGAGGGTTTTCAAACAGCACTTGGTTCAACATTTCTTCCTTAGACACTGGTGGCCTGGCCTTAGACGGTCTGAGTTTGTTCCATGCTCCAATGAAGTTCTTCCATGTTTTTGATTGTACTCGGCGGTTACTAAAACCAGGTAACAGGAGGCAAAGCCATACTTTGGAGTGGTCCTGCAGCTGACATTCCGTCCCCAAGATATATTCCGCTAGGAACCTCCAAATCTTATCGCCGGGCTCTGTCATTAGAGCCAAGTTCCACTACCTTCTTCACGCGAATACAACGTACGGCGATTATTGCTGTATCTAGACTCAAAGTTGCCCCAAATACAGCTATAATGACCGGACGTTGTATTCGGGGGAAGACGGTAGGGGCATTTCACAGTAGTATCCCTTTTTTACTCCGTCATGGGGTACCACTAGGGGCATTTCACAGTAGTATCCCTTTTTTACTCCGTCATTGGGTAGGGGGGCAGGGTCCTGTAGGGGCAATGAGTTCCCTCAGTGCCTGAATGCGACCTTGTTTTAGAGTTCCTTCAATTTCCGCAACGGCAGATTGCTATGCTCTCGTAGACTAGTCGCCGGTCGGCCGCCAGCCTGGCTGCGCCCCCACGCCCGAGCGTGGTATCAGTTAGTATTCCCACAGACTGTTGAAACTCGTGACCTAGTGAACCAATCTCGAATCCAGACCAGATACTGAATTATATAATCGACGAGATGATGGGCCTCGCTGCACTACTCTCGAAATGCACAAAAGACAAAGTTCATGGTGGTGTATCTTTCCATATCCTAGCAGAGGATTCACTCTCGTTTTGCACATTTCGAGAGTAGTGCAGCGAGGCCCGATATCAAGGTTTTCATATTTCCTCGTCAACTTGAGTATGGATTTGAACACGGTCTACATATCTTTCTTTCTTTCTTTTTTGTTTTGTTTTTTTTGTTTTTTTTAATGAATTACACGTCTGCAGATTACCAGTTTGGGACCTTAACGATGATTTTTTTTTTTTATTATTTTTTTTTGGATATCTCAAGCCTGCTGCCCTTTTTAAGAAACAAGGGGCAGTAAAGGAACCAGCACATTTTACAAGGAATCTGTGCGCAATGGCGGTTAGATACGTCCGAGGACGGCCTAGCATGCTTGAGTGTCCACAGAGCGGACGCTGGCACCTCGCTCGAATCGTGGAGCGAACCTTCTGCACCTCGAAGACCCAGAGGGTCGGTCGAGGCACCCAATGGGTTCTCGAAAGAATTTGACCCCCAATTGTGGTCAGCTACGACACGCCGGACAGTGGACACGGTATTGTCGCAATGTCGTGTGCCCCACGTGGGACCTGCCCGAAAAGAAAATGAAAATAAAAATAAAACAAACATGGGACCTGCCAAAAAAAAAAGTGTCCACAAATTTCAAGTTCAGGGGCTAGGTCCCACTTGCACGAGTTAAGAGATACTGACCGTAGATAGCAAAGATCAACGGCCGAAATCTCCTAATTTGCGCAAGTGGGACCTTGCCCCAGGGGCCACGAGGCCTCAGTGGTCCCATTAGCAGTCGGATAGGAGTTTGGCCGATCCAGTGTGACACGACAGGTTCATTACGAATTTCTGGGGTGAGAAAACAGGAGGAGGCAAAAAAAACAAAAAAAACAGAGATCTCCCACCTGAAATCACGACAGAGCTCCACTCCGCTGCTACAGTACCAAACCAAACAGGGAGTCCAGCTCCAGCAAATTCAGATCAAGAAATCAGCGGTGTCGAAGGCTGTTAGCCACGCAAGATCTCAGAATATTGAAGGGGTCACAGAACACAAGCTTTGCTCCTTCTGGAAAGGGTTATTGAAAACCCCAGTGCAAAAGCATGCTAGCCTCATGTGGCTGCAATCAATGCTGGTGATTGCTACGGCGGTTTGGCTTTCTGACAAAGGGATGGATATTCCAACCCAGTGCCTGAGATGTCAATGGGGCTGGGAGAATATGCTCCACCTATGGTTATATTGCCCACTTGCAGATGAACTTCTCATCTGGTGGAAAAGGCACTGGGCTAATATTACTAGAGGGGCCTTTGATTGGACGGATACATGGATGCTGACTGGCCTCCTCCCGACTACCCTGACCTACAACTCCGAGCTGGGTTACCTGGCGGTATGCTGCAGAGGGGTCATAATGGACACAATATGGGCAGCAAGGAACGCCTGCATTTTTAGAGGCGAAACTATGTCACTTAGCCAACAGCAGGCACGTATCAAAATGAACCTAAGACTTATTATACGTGCTGATTGGCTCCGGAAGAACTTCATATGGTTCAGCAAGACATGGGTGATAGGGAACCGCCTAGCTTCAATAAATCAGGAGGGCAAAATGGTTATTTGTACATGGCTATCAGACACCCATGACTGACATGGGGGTAGTCTGAGCAGGATGTTGTTGGGGCAGCAGGCAGCGGATCGAGAGTCAAGGTCTTACTGTATGGTATATGGTTTCTGTGATGGATCACGAGGTGGATTGATAGATCATATATGGCTGGATGAGTTGAGACATTTTAATTTTTTAGTAATTTCAGCCATCTTTTCTGGGCTTCATGTTTATTTTTTTGGGAAGTACCTGTTGTCATTTCTTTGAGAGGCTAGAGGTTTGGGACGCTGGACCCGGTTTCCAGCGAAGTGCTTCTTCTTGGTAACCCCGGGTAGAATTGTGAGGTCCCCGGCCTCGTCCACTATTATTTTTTTTGGGAATATAATGTGATGTCTTCCCAAAAAAAAAAAATAAAAAAAAAAAATAACGGCAGAAATATTTGGAATATAATTGAATGTGTTAAAAAAAAAAAAAAAAAAAAAATCACGGCAGAGTGCTTCTCAGCCATCAGATCACAAATGATCTGATGGTGGTGGTTGCAACAACAGTGCAGAAATTAACTGCCACATTTTCCGGAGTCAGCAGTGATCCTGACACCCTCCATATACTCCGTGATTGAAGGAGGGCTCCACCCAATGAGATAATTGCACAACAGCAAGCAAAATACTGAAAATCTTCTGTGGGCCTATGGTCAACCCGCTTTTTTTTGGGGTTGGCCATGCCCCCAACGGGGGCCTCGGCCCACATGCCATTGAATAGTATAGTTTACTAGTCTGTGTGACAGTCGAAGGAGGGAAACCACAGTAGTGAGGCGAGTTCCTTTGTGTGTTTCCTCAGAGGATTGTAAGCCTCATAGCACTGGCACTTTGAGAAATGTATCCAGCCATTTTCAGGGCCGAATAGGTGTTCCCTTTTTTTTTTTTTCCTCAACCGTGATCACAATGGCACTTAGAGGAATGTATCCAGCCATTTTCATGGCCCGATCCGTGTTTCCATTTTTTGTTTTTGTTTTTCGTTTCTGGAATCTGAGAATCTCGTCACGAGGCTGAGATGCCCTCACTGAAGGCACACTCACACTACCACTTCCAAGGGTCTCGTTCGACACCACTTGGAAATTGCTATTTTTCAAGGAAGCATTGTTCGACCCCGCCCTAATCACGCACCCTTGAAGTCGCTAATTGTTTCCACATCCCCGCGGCAAAGTGTCCGCCCTTGAAACGAAAGTGCGGCCCAGGCAAATCGACCGAAATCGAAAGGGAGCCTCGCGAGGTCACTTGGGGCGCAAGGGTTTCGGCCTTCGGGACGCGTGAATCGCGGTTTTCAGGTGCTTTCGTCCTTCTCTCCACGGAGGCAGAACTGTTCCTGGTACAAACCAGCTTTTGTCCGACGTTCGCAGTGGGACTGTGGAACCGGGGGCGGTACCAACGGCAACCCGAGGTGCCAGTTTCGGCAGCAAAGGGTCATCACGCCGACCGTTACAGGGCGGAGGCTGTGTTGCGGGGAACGGTAGTGTGTTTTTTCAAATTCAAACCAGCGTGCCCCGGGCGCAATGCGGCAGTGCTGCGTTTCCTTGCATGACCGTTGTTGTGCAGAGGAGCAAACGGGCAGGTTACAGTGTCCCGGTGCGGTTGTGTGTGTCCTCCGGCATGGCAGTAGCGAGTCACGTGGCCAGCATAAAGTGCACGATCATGGTGGCTGTGTGCGTTGTCCATTGCCCTGTTGTCGCGTTCTGATGACGCAAGTGCGTATGGCAGACCTGTTGAGGAAGACTGCTCTCCTTGCTCTCCTCCTGTTCGCCTTGCTGGCCGTTCTTGTCGTCCAGCTGTGGCAGCTAGGCAGGCGGGCTGCAGTACAGCGTCGGCCGAAGTCGTCGAAGAAGAAGGTTAGGTTCGTAGGTGCAGAAAAGTCGATGGGGGATTATCGTTCAGGGGCGGGGCGAGAGCACGGGATGGAAGGGGCAGGCTTTACCAGCGGGACGGATGTGCAGGAACATCGTTTTGATCCGGCGTTGTACTCGCATCTCCCCTCTTGGCAACAGCCCCTGCCAGACGATAATCATTGGGAACCGCCTCTGTCGACTCTTCCACTTGGATGGGGGTCGACGCAGACTTCTTACGACACGGTGGGGATACCTCACCGTCGTGCCAGTTCCATGGGGCCCATGTCTGCGCTCCTCGGCGAAGTTCGCGAAGGGGGCGGACATCCTCTTGATCTTCATCTATCCCCTTCATGCAGCATGCACGTCTCGAGGACGCTGATCGTCGACCACAGCAGCGATGGCCGCCGTCCCATGACAGTTGCAACGGATGTGCCTACGAAGGGATTGTCCAGCGTGTCAGTGAATCGGCAACAAGAAGTGGCGATGAAGGACATTGGTGCGGCTGCTGTGGATAGCGTGCAGAGGGGTGTAACGGGTGGGACGACGGCTGCAGAATCCCCGCCTGTCATTGAAGGAATCATAGCGCGAGTGTCAAACATGCGTGCGACGGGCCAAGGTGAACAGGGTGGCGTCGGGAACGCGGGTTGTGAGGAAGAGGGTGAAGTCGATGGCGACGACGAAGATGACTCAGATACTGATGAGGAGGAGGAGGACGGTGTTCAAGAAGTGACAACTCGTGGGGGCAAGAAAAAAGGAAGCAATGGCCATGGGAAACTTGAAGGTAAGGCCAAGAAAGGTGGCAAGGGGGGTGGCGGGAACAAGAGGGGGCTGTGAAATCTGAACGAATCCCTCGTTCTTGTGCGGTGCAAGAGGGATATCAGGAGGACTACCTCACGAATGCTGGTAGAAACTTTGCGCGGATGAAGATGAAAGAGTGGAAGTGGACGGACATATCAAACCGGATGAGGCAGCAAGGTGTAATGCGAGACTGGGACTCGTGCATGAAGAGGTGGGAGAACGTCATTGGCCATTACAAGAAAGTGCTTGAGAGGGAGAAGGAGTCTGGTGTGGAATCCTTCTTCACACAGACGCCGAAGCAGCGCAAGCAGCTCGGGTACAAGTTCACGATGGACCGGATGGTGTATGACGCCATTGACGGGATGCAGCAGGATAACTAGGCTATACATCCGCCAAATCTGGCGGACTCGGGCATTCCCCAACCTCAACAGTCCCAACAAGGCGAGAAAAGCCATGTCCACGGGCCACCGGCCACAAGCGAGACATCCGCCAGTGAAAACGGTGAAGGTGAAGGCGGTGATGGGTGCGGCACCCGGTCGTCAGGGTCCGCACGCCACGGAAAGAGGAAGAATGTCCGCCAGCTCGCGTTCGACTCTGACTGATGTCATGAAGACCCACTCCACCGTCGTCGCCGATTCTGTGGACCGCGCAAGCAAACGACAATGTGAGGTGCTTAAGCGATAATGCGACATAATGGAACGTGAAGCGATGACGCAAGAAAAGGCAATGCGAGGTGTTGGACGTCGGCCAGTGGATGCTTTGCGATGCTCTGCTGAAGATAGTGTCGGCGTTGTCCCGCTAGCGATGACTTTCGCCATTGTCGGGGAAAAAAAGCGCTATAGTCAAGATGCTACAACAGAAAAATTCCCACGAGAAATGAATGTTGAAAAAACATTCCATAAAGAAAAAATCCTTCATATTTATAAATTATCATTCCAATGTTCATCCAATTCAAAAATTTTCAGTTTTATTTGATAAGATCTCGTCTAAATACGAGTTTTCCCTTCTAACTACATCCATTTGTTCAAGATGGAATGGAAGTCTGGACGAGTTTATGAAATGTTTTAGTTAAACTTTCATTCTACTGCAAGAAATATCTTCTAATTTAGATTGGATTAACATATTAATGACTGAAAATCCTTACTTAGAATGACAGTCCACTTAAAATATTCCATGAACTCGTCCGCACTTTCATTACATCTCTAGCATGCAGTTCAAATAAGAAGAAATACCCCATTGCTGGAAGGAAAGTTTTTAAGTAAGACATGAAATTTTAAAATTGGAATGACATTTTTTAAGATGGAATGAAAATTTAAAATTTAGAATGTAATTTCACTATAGAATGATTATTTAATTCTAGGAAATTTTTCCGTTGTATTTCACCTCAAACCGCATTGACGATCCCGCTCCCTTACTAATGTGGACACTTTTTTTATATCGAATTTGAGGAGTTTTTTATCCCTTTTGTGTATTCTATTTTTTTTTTTTCTTCCGACCAGTCCTTTATTATTTTGTTTTTTTGGCGGTTCGTTCGTTTGCACGCTATCCGACCTGTGCTGCACGGGTGTGGTTTCAATCACCGTCACTCACGCCTATAAAAACGGGGACAGTGGATGGTGATCGGTAGCATTCTGCGACTGTGCAGTGGTCAGTCAAGTGGGGTGGTCGTGCTGGTCATCGCGGACGACGTGGTCGACTTGCGCAGCACGGGCGGTGAAGGTAGTTGCACATACCTTCGCCGGTTTGCAAACCGTGGACGCTTGGCGGATGGTCGGGGTGTTCATTGCGGTGCAAGGGGGAAAGGTGAACAAAGCGAGGACGCGTGGCAGTCTTGCGGGCGGTGTTGTTCATTTGTAGGTTCAGCGTGTTCAGGGAGAGCATGGACGTCGTGGTCGCACTGAGAGGGCGGATCGCGGGGCGGACGGTCGTCTTTTACGAAATGAGACACCGCAGAGATAGGGACTGACGGGCGTTCGACTTCGTGCACATGGTCACGCGTCATGAAGTGGGGCACTTCGAGTTGGATGGGAATGGGCGTGCTTGCCTGCGCTTGACTGTCGGTTACGATTTCGCTCATGGATTGCTCACACACGTTGTCGCTTTCACGACGAAGGTCAAGGATGCGATTCTCGATTGGTGGGATTTCTGCGTTGATGTTCTCGCCGATCTCGTTGATCTTCTTGTTTCCAACGTGGCGATGGAGTTCAATGATCGCTTAGACGAGACCGCTGCGTACAGGGTCCACGTGGATCCGCCACTATACGGTCGTGAGTATCTGCATGGCGAGATCGGGATTGTTCTCGATGGTTTTGAGTGGACACCATGGGTGACTTCGGGGATGCGAAGATTCTTCTGCGTTTTGGCGTATACTACACGGAGAGAGAGAGAGAGAGAGAG